GATTAATGAAAAGCTTAGCTCTCGGCAGCAGAGAAGTGGGACTGTTGGTTGTGCACAGCTCAGGAACGTTCTGCCCGCTGGGAAGCTCTTGTGATATTTCAGTGACCATCTGACCAGTGTTGCCACCGCTACTAGCACGCTATAGATGTCCCACAAACTGGAATCCAATCACAAAAGGGTTTTTTGTTTCATTCAGATTGTATCAAAAACTAACCCCAAACAAGAACTGCAAATTGCACATCACTTCCTGGCCCTCCTTCTTTGCTGGTTCCTCCCCCAAACACAGTTAGTAATTAATTACCAAATGTGTTTCTTGTCAAAATCCACCAGGTGGCACGGTTCATCTGGTTTGCCGAAATAAGGAACGGGCTGAGGTCGCCAAAGGAGAAATAGTGACAGAAACAGGCAATCCGGTGAGTTGTTTTTCAGTCTTTTGCTTACTCTTAGGAAGATTGTTAGTATTAAAGACCTCAGAGGCCTTGAGATACTCTGTTTTGTCATTTTGCTGTTGTGTTTTTAATAGTATTTTGATACGGACATGGAAACATCTAGTAGTTTATCATCCATATGAAGTGTTTTAATTTCACTAGGTGATGTTTTCTGTGATTATAACATCACCAGAAACATGTTGTTTTATTTAATGCTGCTTGTCCATATGTTTTGTGATGCCCTGCTTACTATTCCTAACTATGTGGCTGAGACTTTTAAAAATTAATGCATTGCCAACACTCTTGCAATAACATTTATGAGTTTACGGCATTGGAGTTGAAGGTTTTATGTGTCTGAATAACATGCTCTTGATTTGCTAAGGTTGGCTGCTCTGTGAAGTCCTGTGTGTGGTCCTAGTTCCATGCTCTACAGACTTTTCCATCTCCTTTTCTTAGAATATCTCTTCCTTACCTCCTCCCTTCTGTTACAGATTCTATTTGCTTCTGCATGTATCACTCTACCGTACAGCCCTGTAGCTGTCACTGTTGCTTTTGCTAATTATTCAAGAGGCTGTGCTTCTGGAGAAGTACAGTCATTGTCTTTCTATCTCCGTGTACTGGCTTTGGCTGGGATAGAGTTAATTTTCTTCATAGCAGCTCCTATGGTGCTATGTCTTGGATTTGCGACCAAACCAGTGTTGACAACCCACGTTTTAGTTGTTGCTGAACAGTGCTCGCACAGCCTTTTCTGGTTCTCACCCTGCTCCACCAGCGAGCAGGCTGGGGGTACACAAGAAGTTGAGAGGGGACATACTGGCACAGGTGATACCAGCTGATCAAAGGAGTATCCCATAACACATGATGATGTGCTCAGCAATAAAAGCTGGGGGAAGGAGGAAGCAGGGACATGGGGACATTCGCAGTTATGGTGTTTGGCTTTCCACACCACTGTTGAATGCAATGAAGCCCTGCTTTCCTGGGGATTGCTAAACACCTGCCTGACAATGGGAAGTAGTAAATGAATTCCTTAATTTGCTTTGTTTGCACACACAGCTCTGCTTCACTTATTAAACTGTCTTTATCTCAACTCCCAAGTTTTGTCTGTTTTACCCTTCCATTTCGGCCCTCCATCCCAGTGGGAGGGAAGTGAGCAAGTGGCTGTGTGGGGCTTACCTGCATACCAGGGTTAACGCACAACATGGATGGAGAGCTACCTTCATTTTAAATAGTGACTTGGCTCCTGAATGCAGTATTTTGATTCCAGTAGTAGTTTTTAACGTGGATCGAAAATTCTGAAGACTTTTTATGGTTACAGATACCATATTGACAAAATTTCTGGTCTTTGGTTTCAGCTCCCTAGTGTGACACAACTAGCATTACACTTCAGTTCCTTAATGGAGGTGAATTAGATCAGTCCTTATATAGAAATAAATACTTTCCAGCTGTCTATAACTCTGTAATCCCATGGCTATAGTAAAACTGGTGATTATCTGCGTTACCTCCTTTTCTAACTGCAGTCAGACAGCCCGGGAAGAGGGGTGAGTTTGATGACCTCTGAAGGTTCCTTTCTGTTCTGTTTTCTTTCATTTGGTGAAACAAAACTCAAGGCAAATAATATTCGTCCTCTAAAAGCAGCACGATTGCTGCATTCCCACTTTTTGGTAGGCATCAAACCTGTAGTTTCTCAGAATATGACGGCACTTCAGAACTTGTTTGTGACCCTGGGGACAGGGCACTTGTATAGAAAGCAGCATTCAGTGAAGTGTTAGATGAACTGTACAAGAGGCCCTCTGGGACATGTAACTGCACTGGGAAGAGTCATTCTAATAAGGAGTCCACAAGAACATCCTTCTTTATAAGTACTTATTCAGAAGCAATCCAGGGAGATAATAAAATGCTTTATCTACAACGTGACAAGCTGTATCCAGCCTTAACTTGCTCTTCCTGATCATCTAGAGAGAGATCCTGTTGTAGTATATGCCAAAGATTTTTTTTCCATATTCCACAGCAACACATGCTGGAGTTCATTGTTGACATGGAGTTATTATTTGGCACGCACCTGCACCTAGACCTGGGAACTGGGAAGTTTCCCTAATCTGTTAAAGTAGATCTAGTCACGGAGATTAGGTCTCACTTCGAAAATGAGTTTGCCACCGTCGAGGACTTTTATAGAGAACAGGCCTCTGGGTCCTTTCTCTGATCCAATGTGACAGTCTTCAGCAGATAAGTGTTGATTTAGATCCTTTTCAGTCTCTGAAATCGCTTGTAATATTGAACATCTGCCCCAAAAACTTCAGCTCTTCTGTTCCAGTAGATAATGGTAGTAGCTTTAATAGTAGAAAGCTTTTAGAGAGGTATCCAGTTAGAAACAGTACAGCAGTGTCAAGTTTTTGGTCAGAAATTAACATTAGGATGAGAAAATTCTGACCTAAGTCAACTAAGGAGCTGAAATCCAGTGGCTAGAGAGAAAAAGTAATGTGGTTTTTATCTGTAGGGAAGCAGAATTATAGGCAGGGAATAATGCTTTATTATTTTCTCAGCTTCTTCACTTACCTCATTTGCTTGTATAATGAGTGTTTTAAAAAAACAGCTTTGAAAGAGAGGAGGTCTTTTAATGATTATTTGTTGTTTTGCATGACAACACATCCTCTGCATAATTATTTTAGAACTGCCTTTTCCTGGGATATGTAATAAGACTATCTGTGGTATGTTTTTGAGAGTAAGTGCTGTCTAGGAGAAGAGTAGGAGTTCACATGCCTTTTGTATGCTGATAAGTGCCACTATGCTTGTGCTAGGTAGAACACAAATTTGCAAAAAGCAAGAGACTTGCCTGTAACAAACAGTAAAAGGTTTTTGATGTTTTGGAGAGAGATATTTCTAGCTTTGGTGGTTTAGAAAATTATAACTTTGCTCTCTGTCAAGCTTTTCCTTTCTTTATTCTATGCCATCCGCATCCCTGGCTGCAGTATTTCAAAACATTGCAAGACTGTTGTGACATGGGCTGGCTAACAAGAACTTAGCAGTTAATGCAAAAGTTAGCATGAAAGGGAATGCAGAAGGCACCCGACACTCTGAGGCAGCTGGAGTGGGTGCAGTGATGCACCTGAAAGTGTGCTCTCCTGCCCTGGTTGGAGCGACTGTGCCTGGCACATGGGAGGCTGGCCCAGACAGAGCTCCAGAGGAATGATGTGGCCCGTGTCGGTCTGCAGGGAATGATCGGTACTTTTCCCTGAGTCTGGGGCAGAGCTTGATGGTGGCCTCATGTGTTGGGTCCTGCTGTGGTCAAGGTGCTGGGCTGCCAGGTGAAGCGACTGCAGGAGATGAGCTGGCTGCATAACTGTAGGGAACAGAAACAAGAGATTGACAGGGTCTTTGCAGAGGGTAGAAGAGCACAAACCCCACATTGCATGGAAGGAGGGACAGCTAGAAGCTAGGTTCGAATAAGTGGTAGATAGAGACTCCTAAGATTGGGAGGAATGGAGGCTTGTGACTGCTGGCAACAGAAGGCGGGCTTGTTCTCCGTCTACAGATGTGCATTTATAGGATAGGTATAGTGCCATGGTAACAAGTGAGGAAGAACAAGCTCTGTCAGGGGAGGTGTTGGAGCCAGATGAGCCTGAACCATTGTTGGCACTGGGAGGAAGTGATGGGTGAAAATGGCTGGAGGCTCCCTCCTGTGGGGGATGGAGGCACCCATCTGCAGTCTTGGCTTGATGTCTTGAGAGGTTTGTCACTTGCTGAGGACTCGGATCTAGGGTATTGTGGAGAGTCTGCTGAGGCTCATCTGGATGTTGGACTAATACCTTTTGTTGCCCAGCCCCATGGGCACCCATGACATTGTGAGGGGTGACCTTGAGTTCATCAAGAGTGCCTATAGAGGGTGAAGGGCATGGAGGCCCAAGTAGTGCTCTCCAGTGAATGAGAAGAGTAGAGTTCTTCCAGTGAAAGGGAAGGGCTTGGGTAAGAGCATATGCACCCTGTAGGTCAACACCTGAATGTGCAGCTGGTGTCACTTTGGTCTTTGTTACTTTGTCTTTGGACTTTACGACCTCTTTGACCTTCTCTGAGAAATGAGCATTGCTGAGTAGGAATGACAAACTGAAGCAAGAGTATCGTTGCCAACAGGTTTGCTAAGATAATGAGGAGGGCTTTAAACTGGTTTCATTGAGGGATGGAGACCAAGCCCAGAAGAGGAGAGTATGTGTCTAGGGGACAGCGAAATGGAGGAGGCTCTCACAGTTTTCATGTGAAAGCAACACGACTGGAGCGCATCTCAGATGCCTGTAAATTAATACACATACCATAGGAAACAAACAGGAATCCATGCATGGTTGCAGAGATCTGACTGGGATTAGAGAGATATGGTTGGCATGACTAGAGCGCTGGAATGGATGTATACAGGCCCTTTTAGAAGTGCAAGCTGTGACGACAAGGAGGAGGAGTTGTGCTCTATGCAAAAGAGTAGCTTGAATGCATGGAGCTTTGCTCTGAAATGGGTAACGAGCCAGTTGAGAGCTTACAGATAGGGCACAGAGGTCAGATCAGTGTAGATGATGTCATGGTGGGTGTCTGCTACAGACTGCCAGATGAAGTAGAGGAAGTAGATGGAGCCTTTTTTAGAGGGCTAGGGAAGCCTCATGATCCCAGGTCCTGGTACTCATGGAGCACTTGAACCACCGGGATACCCGCTGGCAACAGGGCAGGGCGTAAAGAATCTAGGAGATTTCTGGAGAGCATCGAGGACAATTTTTTGATGTGAGTGTTGGACAAGCCAGCTAGGGGTGATCTCTGCTGGACCTGCTATAAATAGAAGTCTTGAATGACTTTCACCACTGCCTTGGTGAAAGTGGACATGAGATTGTGGAATTTAAGATTGAGACAAGTGACAAGGATGAGTAGTAGAGTTACAATCTTTGGTTTTAGGAAAGCAAATTTTGTCTTTTTTATGGACCTGGTTGGCAGGATCCCATGGGAGACAGCCATGGAAAGCAAAAGGCCTTGGGAAAGCTGGTTCATCTTCTTGTAATCAGTGGCTCAATGTCCAAGTGGTGAGCAGTGACAAGTGGTGTTCCTCATGGGTCAGTACTGGGACTGGTACTATAAACATCTTTGTTGGCAACATGGATGATGGGATTGAGTGCACCCTCAGCAAGTTTGTCAACAATACCAAAGTGTGGAGCAGTTGACATGCTGGAGGTAAGGAATGACATCCCGAGAGACCTGGACAGGCTTGAGAGGTCGGCCTCTGCAAACCTCATGAAGTTCAACAAGGTCAAGTGCGAGGTCCTGCACAGGGCCGGGGCAATCCCATGCACAAATACAGGCTGAGTGGAGAATGGCTTGAGAGCAGCCCTGAGGAGAGGTACGTGGGGATGTTAGTTGATGAGAAGCTCAACATGAGCTGGCAATGTGCACTTGCAGCCCAGAAAGCCAACTGCATCCTGGTGTGCATCAAAAGAAGCGTGGCCAGCAGGTCGAGGGAGGTGATTCTGCCCCTCTACTCTACTCTCGTGAGACCCCGCCTGGAATACTATGTTCAGCTCTGGAGCCCCAACAAAGGAAGGATATGGACCTGTTGGAGTGGGTCCAGAGGAGGGCTACGAAGATGATCTGAGGGCTGAAGCACCTCTCCTATGAAGAGAGGCTGAGAGTTGGGGTTGTTCAGCCTGGAGAAGAGAAGGCTCCAGGGAGGTCTTATTGCTGCCTTCCAGTACCTAAAGGGGGCCTACAGGAGAGCTGGGGAAGGACTTTTTACTAGGGTATGTAGTGACAGGATGAGGGGGAATGGCTTTAAACTAGAAGAGGGCAGGTTTAGATCAAACATTAGGAAGACATTTTTCACTGTGAGGGTGGGGAGGCACTGGAACAAATTGCCTAGAGAAGTTGTTGAAGCCCTGTCCCTGGAAGTGTTCAAGGCCAGGCTGGATGGGACTTTGAGCAACCTGATCTAGTAGGAGGTGTCCCTGCCCATGGCATTGGGATCAGAACTATATGATCTTCAAGGTCCCTTCCAACATAAACCATCTATGATTCTATGATCTTCTGGAAAAAGGCAAACCACTTATCTTCAAAAAAGGCAAGGAGGATTTGGAACTACTGGCTGGTCAGTCTCACCTTGCTCCCAAGGAAAACTACGGAGCAAATCCTCACAGAAACTATGAAAGACAGGAAGGTGATTAAGAAAAAAACTGTGGATTTATCAAGGGCAAAACTGGCCTGACCATCCTGATTGCTGCCTTTCGTGAGATGACTCTGCATATGGATGAGAGGAGAGCAGTGCTTGCCACTTTCCTTAACTTTGCCAAGACCTTTTATATGGTCTGCCATAGTATCCTTGAAGCCAGTTTGGAGAGATGTGGTTTGAACTGGTGGGTGACAAGCTGGGTGGAAAACTGTCTGGAACATTTGGCTCAGAAAGTAGCAATCAATAGTACAAAGCTGATCTGTTAGCCATTTTATAGTAGCACCCCCCATGAGTCAACAAAGGAGCAAAAACTGTTTAATGTCTCTTTCAACAACTTGGACGATGGAGCGAAGTGCAATCTTTGTCAGATTGCAGATGATGTTGAATGGAGGAACTGAAGAGCAGGGCTGCTATTCTGAGGGATTTAACAGGTGAGAAAGTGGGCTGACATAAACCTCATGAAGTTCACCAAGCACAGATGCACAATCCTGCCCTGGAATGGAGTAACCCCATGGAGCAGTACAGGCTGGGACGAGCTGGCTGGAAAGGAGCTTTGCAGAAAAGGACCTAGAGGTGGCAAGCTGTCCCTGAGTGAGCAGTATGCCCTCGGGCAAGGAAGATCAACCACATCCCAGGCTGTATGAACACAAGTGTAGCCAGCAGGCTGAGGGAGGTGCCTCTTCCTCTCTATTGAGCCTTTGTTAGACCACAGCAGGAGTCCTGCACCCAGTTTTGGGCTCCCCAGGACAAGCAAGTCATTGATATCCTGGAATGAGACCAGTGGAGGGCTGCCGAGGTGGCTAGGGAGATGGGACTTGTGATGTGCAAGGAGAGGCCGAGAGGGCTGATTTTGCTCAGTGTTAAGAAGAGAAGGCTGAGATAGGTCTTATTGTAGTCTACAGCCACGTGATGGGAGGGGGGAGGGAAGGCAGTGCCATGCTCCTCTTGGAGGTCTGCAGTGAAAGGACAAGAGACAACAGACATAGATTGTAACAGCGTAAAATTCTGACTATATAGTAGGATATTTTTTTTTCACCGTGAGGTTGGTCAAACACTGGAGCAGGCTGCTCAGAGAGGCTGGTGAATCTCCATCTTAGGAAATAAAACTTCCCTGGACAACCTGATCTCAGTTACCTGCCTTAAGATAGCAATGGGACCAAGCAGCCTCCAGTGGTTCCTTCCAACCTAAATTATTCTCTAGTGCTGTGACCTTGAGCATTGCTTTGGAAAGTTGCTTTCAGCTAAAGAGGAAGCTACTGTGCAAATTATTTAAACAGAAGTTTTGCAAGCTTTGCGATGTTTTTTTGTTCTCTGCTATGCCTGACTGTCTGTCCCATATATTTATCTAAGTAGCTCTCTCTTTTAATAAATTTGGCATTAAAAAGCTATGGCTCAGAAGCAACTAACCCAAAGAACTAAACATGTTTTAAGGACTAGAATTAGATTTCCTAGTTGTTCATGTTAACCATAAGTGTTTTAGTTGTGTTCTGGAGATAATATTTCTTCATACTGCTTAATTACCTTTTTACCTAGACGGGCCTTAGCAGTGAACAGAGTATCTTCACTTTCCATTGTGATTGTAACTTACTTTTTTTTGCTTTAGAATATCTTCTTGCATATTCTGGATATATCTAATCCCAAGGAAATCTGGAAGTTTGCTGAAAAATTCAAAAATGAACATAAATTAAATGTGTTGGTAAGTTTGCATACTTAAATCATGTGTCTGTCTTTGGAGCGTGTAGTTTCTGAACTTGTCCAATGGCTAGTCTAGATTTTACAATTTGACCTGAAGTTCTCTGCTTAATTTTCTCTAGATGTTGCTGGAGTAGCCTCTGTGGTCCATTTACCCTTATCTATTCTCAGTTCACATACACAGATACGGCATTAAAAAAGAAAATAAAGGGATGCAGCAATGTTTTAGCTGCATCTTTTGAAGTTCTCGCCACACAAATATGGTGGCCTTTAGATTGCATGTTAGGCTGTGCGTATTCTGCTAAACAGAATGTGGCAGGGACTGATGCCTCTTCCCAAGAGCAGATTAGTCTTGCTTTGTGCTTGTCCCTCTTAAAGATTAAACTTTTATAGAAAGTCTAGTTAGAGCAGTCTAAAACAGAGCCACGGAGATAGCAAACAGTTAAGCAGCATGACTGGTAAGGGGCTCAGTACTCTTTACCCTTTATTGAGCAGTGAAAATTTGCTCTGGGGGCTGAACTAAAACTGAGGCACCTGGAGCCGTTGTTTTGGTGCTTACCAGATGAGGAAATTCTATTAGAAATGGGAAAATAGCTTTTGAGGAGTGGCTGTGAATGAACAGGAAGGTATGTAGGGGCAGATCTCTTTTTGAGGTGGGAAATAAAAGCTGGAGCTTCCCCTGGAAGGTAAGGCAAAGAAGGAAGCGTGTCTGAGAATATGCTAGCTGCGCACTGCTTGCAAACTTCTGAGGTTTTACCTTACAGTGCATCCATGCTGTATGGTGCAGCACTGTTTTAGCAACGTGAGTCAGGTAGGGAATCTGTGCAGGATTCCCAGGCAGAGAGAAAAGCTGGGGTCCCAACAACCGGGGCACAAAGTCAGTATGAAGCACCTCTACTGGTTAGCTCTATTCTCAGGGCTAACGAGGATGCAGCAACTTGCTGACCTGGCTAATCTGCCAAATTGGGAGCTAATTCATTTAATTTAGTGAGGGTGGGGGTTCCTGCAGGCCATTCTACTGCATGTTGCACAACAACTGCTCTACAACTTACATATTACTTTCTGTGAGAAAAGAGTTTAAAAATGTGGAGCAAGGTATTTAAGAGGACTGTTGGCTCTTCGTGTAATACATCTGTGGCGATCTGTTTCTCTGAAGATCCTTTCTTTTGTGAAAAACCTTTGCGGTCAGTGACAAGTAGTGGGATTTGGAATAGCGTGGTTTATTGAAACAGTTTGTAGCTTTGTGTTGCAGGGTCAGAAAACAGCAAACTAGCATGGGCTGCTTGTATGTATGGTTTTGTTTGTAGATATTTGTGTAGAATATTTTTGTTTACAGGAGTTGTCTTACAGATAAACAATGCAGGATGTATGGTGAATAACAGAGAATTAACTGAAGATGGACTTGAAAAAAACTTTGCAACAAACACTTTGGGTGAGTATTGAAGGCTTAGTTCTGAATATGATGCTCATTTTGGTTACAGAAGTGTGTGTTTACAGCTGGTTTTGTGAGGTGTGTATTCCTGCTCAAAGAATGATTTTACCATTGCTGTACCAGGGAAGGAGCGGGAAAGGAAAAGAAGCAACATTACCGCTTGTTTGGAGTGTCATTTTTTAATTTCTCCATTTTTCAGTTGTTCTCAGATCAGTGCCTTTATCTATCATGGCAGCAGTGAACAAATGCAGATAAGATTTAATTAAACTGATTCTGAAATTTGCTAGGAAGCTCTGTTCCAAACAGTGCTGCTAATGATACTCTCTTTGTAATAAGTGTGCTCCTGTGGCTCAGATAGAGCTTGGAGTACGTTCAGATATTTAAAAAGACATTAAAATGTTTCAGTAGGCCTGACCAGCCCCGTTTGATGTGATGATGGAGGCACTGTGTAGGAAAACTGTGACTTATATAGTGCTTTGGACACTCTCAAACAGTTGCAACATCTAGTCAAGTGATAGAGTAGTACTGGGTAAGTCTTAGGCACTCCACATATAAGGGACATAATCCCACGAACTGTATGGTAGAGGTATACGAGGGGCAAATTAAGGGAAGCAAATGAAGCGGGAAAGGAGAGATGTGGATGAGCAAGGAAGACGGTGATCAAAGTGGAAGGTTAACCCCATAAAAGCCATGGAAAAGATGTGAGCAAACAGTCAGCAGGTAGAGAGAAGAGCTGTCTGCCGCCGCTGATATCGGTAGGGCTGAAAGCTGCACCTCTTGCAAAGAGAGGTGTGCTTCCATCAACCAACAGTCCTGACACTCTCTTTTCCCTGTGTCCGTGCAGGGTAGGTGGCTTTCTCAAAAGACTGTCTTTAATATATTCAGAAGTGACACGTTAAGGAGGAGCTGTGGTGCTTTGTTTCTGTGTTTTCCTCCTGTTCATCAATATCTAGTACAAGGAAGGGGGAGGCTTAGGCTAGAAAGATTGGGCATTTATAGAACTAATGTAGCCTGGAAACCATTGTTGCATTTTATTCTTAGCTTTTTTCCTGCGTTGCTTCCTTTACTCCTATTTACTTTTGAAAACCAGCATTTTAGGTATAAATGTCTTGTGCTTAGCTGATATGGTGCACACAGCTTATTTTTTCCACAAGTCTGACTACATTAAACTGACAATTGACTCAAGTATAAAGGCACAAATTCATTTTCTTCAAATTAATCTTCTGCTAACGTTCTTTTTTTTCTCATGGCCAAAATTCAAAATTAATTTTATTTTGCCATCGAATTTCCCCTGGCTGCAGAAGTACAAGAACCTTCTACTTTGAGAAATTTATTCACCTTAAATTAGTTTAACCCTCTTGTGGTCTTTCAAACAAAAATCCAGCAATGCACAAAGGTGCACTTCTTCTAGAGTGAAGCAGAGTGAAACAAATACAAGTCTGAATGTGAAAGCATGTTTTGGTTTAGTTCTAAACATTGACAAAATTAATTGCCAAGGAACTGTACTAGTGCATCACTTGAATTGGATTTTATCACACAAGTAGAAGCAGCAAGTTCTCCTTTCCCAGCTGTAAATGAGCCTCACTAGAGATACAGCTGCACAGAGGAAGCTGAATCATGATTGTAGCAAACTAGGAAGATGCCTGTATTATCTTTTATGAGTATTATGTATAGATCTCCTTTATTCATTTGTGTATCACTTGCTGCATGACTGTATAAGAAGGTGAAGGAGGTGACTGCATATTTGAACAGTTAAGGTAAAACAGATAAGTCATCCTCTGTTGTCCAACTTCTGCAGAGTTCAGACAAGGACTGGGTGGTTTGCTTAGACTGGTTCTCTCTAGGCAACAATAAGGATTACATTTTGGAGCTTTTAGAGCAGAGTGGGACTTGGTTGAGCTGGAAGAGGCTGTCTGTGCAAGAGAAAGCTTCTGTGCTTGCAGGTCAGACACACATGAAGGACCAATGCTGTCAACAGTGCAATTTTTTTCTTCAGAGATGAGGTAATAAAATGTATCTGCTGGAGTCGTAGTAGGACAAAGCTGGATGGAGAAATGCCTATCAGAGTAGATGCTGCGTTAAGTCATTTCCCTAAGCACTAGGTACCTTTGGGCGTGCTTCACTTTGGAGAAGTTATTTCTGTATCTGCAACTATCTGTGGTTATAGGTTCCCAGAGAGAAAATATGGCTAAATTAGATATGGCTGGTATATAGGTTGGCTGTAAACTCGAATGTGGTCTGAGAGAACAAACTAAATTCCTCTCTCTGCCTCTTTCCCCAGAGAGACTAAAACCTCAAGGGTGACATGGGCTCAAGACCCTGGTTTTGAAAATCTGGAGTTGCCCCCCTCAGCAGCAGCATAGAAACAATAATCATGACTGCCTGATTTCTGCAGAAATAATATGGAATAATATTGATTTCTTTTTTTCAGATCTTCACGTGCAGGGTGTTCCTTCCATCTTTCTTTCACTGTTTGTTTCTACCCTGGATTTTAGCTCTGGTCTAGAAAAGGATTTTGTAAATTGTAACTATCTAAAAATGCAAGACTGAACTATTACATGCTTTAAATGCAAGACAGAGTCTTAGAATTCTGTATCTGATATCTGATTAACATTTATATAAGCTGTAGAATTGCTCATGTAGGTGTCTAAAATGCTGTGGAGCCTTTAAATCCAAACTAGGAATATTTTCCTCTTGACTGACTTGTTAGTTTGTTTTCAAGCATAATGAATGTTAGAGTTCAGTTCTAATTGATAATCTGACTTGCGAAACATACTTTATATCCTGATCTTTTCTTGGACCTACCCTTAATGTGAAATACCACTGACTGGCTAGTCGAGGATGGCTCACTCAAAAAGGAGGTGCAGAGCCCTCTCTGGTATTGTCAGAATATTCAGGTGGGTGAAGGTCATGGAGATGCAAAATGCAGGTTGATAGTTCAGGCTTTGTATGGTTGGTCTAATATTCAAGTTCAAACTGTAAACTGCTTTGCGCAAACAGTGGCAGCTGTATCTGCGCTGGTGCCTAGCATCCTTAAAATGGGGCTTGGCCACAAACGCCACGTGGCTTGTGATTCTGTTGTTGCTATCACATGAAATATCTTACCTTTTTTCCCCTGCTAGATCCCCAAGAATTGTTGCCCTGATTGCTAGAGCTCAGTGAAGGTGCAGAGAGCAGAATAACTATGGAGCGCTTAGACTGTAATGCAGGAGCTCTAGTCAGACGTGAGTCTGAAATGGCACGTTGCTGATTGAATCATACCTTCAGTATGAAATTGAGCGACTGGCTTGGGGTAATGTGGGCTGATTTCCTGGGGAGCTGCCGATCCTGGTGGGCAGATTTTATTTGTGTATCCTTTAGTTTGTGTGTTGTTGCCCCTATGTTTCCTCCTGTGGGCTGGCCTTGTACTCAGGATTGTATCCAGGAGCTGGGCAGCAACAAGCAATCATTTCTTCTGATGAGACTTGCAGGCTTCTGAGTCAATGCTGCTTTTTTTTTTTTTAATTAATTTTATTGTACTTGTTTTAGTAAAACTCCCATCAAAGACTATTCAAACTGACAGTATTCAGTCATTTTGGAAAAAAAACCTGTCAGCATTGTTATGCAAGTAGAGACAGCAGAAGCATGTTCTTATTGAAGCACTAGACATTTAGAGCTGAAACAATCCTTGTTCCCTTATTTTATAGACTGACTCACTTTACTTTTACCCAACACATCTTCTTGCTTGACATGGAAAGCTGGCGTATATGTTACATTTTTATTGCTACTTACCAGCCAAGGGGATGCTAAAACACACTCAGAGATAAATAAATGATGCTCCCAGTATGCATCTTTTCTTCAGTCTAATGTGCTCTCACATTTTAATGATATAGCCATATACATTTCCTCTATGTGCAAGAAGAGGTAGGGCCAGAGGAAACAAGGTGCTTTTCTATGAAGGTACAAGTACAGCCCATCTATGGCAAATTGTCTAACTTGTATGAATATTTGTTGGTCTCTTCCCTACAAAAAACACGTAAACTATATCTAACTGGTGGTTGATGCAAGCCAGCATTGCCTGGTGGACTGTGTTCTGAACTACTGGGAAGTCGGGCAACTTGGATAGCAGCTGTCAGTCTACCATAAGGTCAGTGCCTTGTCTTTTGCAAGACAACCTTGAAAAGGAAACTATGCCCATGAAAAGGAGACTATGATACCAATTTTCTTTCTAAAGAGCTTTGAGACTAAGGGATGAGAGGTGCTATGTGAAAGGATAAGGTTGAATATAATTGCACATCCACTAGCTGTACTGAAGCCTGGGTTCCCAGGACACATAGGAATCCTTATTGAGCTGTGCTTTGTAATTCAAGGGAAACATAAACCTTTGTTTTGTCTTTTATGTTCATTAGCTCTACCCATACGCACTCTCAGTTATTGCTAGTGGGGTGGAATTGGCCCTCAGAGACAGCACACTAAAATCTTCATGCCTGATCTTGTACTCAGGAAGAAGACTCAGGGATGGCTCTTACTTGTCTTACTTGGAACTGCATAAATTGAAGGCTTGAAAAGATAACCAGGTCAAGGAAGAATGTCAGTTTGTTCTTTTTTTTTTTTAAAGACTCGGACATAAGAAAAGCAAGCCAATTTAACTGATTTTTACCAGATGAATGAGCCATTGAAAACCGTAGAATAAAACTTTTTTTTTTTGTTCCCACTTTTTTCACAGTTGAAATAACATTGTTCCTAATAATACTGCAAAGCTCAGGCAGATGGAAAACTTCACTGAGTGCGGTGCTGGCTGCCTGCCCTTATCTGAATGTTAGCAGATTAAAAACCTCACCAACAATTTACCATTAATTGCCAGATAGAACATCAAGCAAAAACTATTCTAGAATCCACCAAGACACTTGGGTCTCCAATAATTGCATCATCAATTAATTTGATGTTATAAACAGGTAGTGGCTTTACAATATTACTTCTGTTGAAACCATAATTTTCTTTATAAATCAATTTTAAAGTAC